GTGTCTATTTGGGCTCTGGTTTCAGAGGTGTAGTCCATGCTCAGGGCCCAGGGTGAGACAGGGGGACGTCATGATGGAAGGGTGCGATGCAGAGCAGCTGCTTTGTTTGTGGCAACCAGGAAACAAAAAAAGGCAAAGGAAAATTGAGACCTTCAAGGGCACCCCACCACCACCTCCTCCACAGCCCACCTCCTCCCGCCAACCCACCAGCCTACGTTACCATCCAATTAGGTCATTAAACTAGGGTGGACTGATGAGGTCAGAGCTCTCACATCCAATTATCCACTCCTGTGGATTCCTGCGTTCACATCAGAGTTTTTGGGGGGTGCCTCATATCCAAACCATTACGTTTCACTCCAGCCCCCAAAAGCTCATGTCCACCTCACAAAGCAAAATGCATTTAGTCCATCTCCAAGAGTCCCTATATAGTCCGTATATAGTCCCTATATAGTCCAATTCCAAAGCAAACTCTTGGCTGTGAGCCCCTGTGAAAAACCAAGGCAAGTTACTCACATCCAATACCTAACGGCATAGAGTGAGCATTCCCGTTTCAAAGGGAGGAACGGGGGCATAGAGACGGGGAGGGGCCAAAGCAGGACCTTAGCCCAGCGAGGCGGACATCTTCCGTCGCTCCCCTTCCAGCCTCTGGGGCTCATGGTGAGGAGTTGAGGTTCCAGAGGGCCCGGGTGGCCGCCCTCCTTGGGCCTCACTCAGCCCAGCTCTCTCTGCAGCCGGCAGGTTAGTGGGGAGACATTCCATGTTACTGACATCTCTTCATTTCTGGGGTCTTCGAGTCTCAACTTCACCCTCGCAGCTGTGTGCGTCACCCCCTGGGGGCAGCCTGCAAGGCTCTGACCCAGGCCTTCCTTTGAAATCTCAGTGGACACCTTCTTGACCCTCTACCTGCACCATCCCACTTTCCTGAAGAACCAGCGCCACATGGACGATGCCAAGGTCCACTTCCAGCTGAAGTAGCAGCTGAGACCTGTGGGCCTCTGAATGCCTGGGTGCTGAGCCTGGTGAGACAACTTCCTAGCCCCCTATGCGAGCAGGGTACCCCAAAATGTCTTCTCAGGGAATTTTCCCTTCTACATCCTGAGTCAGTGATGAGTATGGTCATGCAAATTCCTGGGGTGCCCTCAAATTGTCTTTCCTATGGTCTCTGTACAAAGTCCTTAGTGTCTCCTTGGTGGCTCTGATCTCTTTAACAACCACGCCTTCCTTTCCCCAGTTTTCTGGTCAAACTGCAAGTGTTTGAAGCCCTTCAGCTCTACTTTCTGCTCCTGATTCTTACAGCAAACCCGGCTAAAGGCTGCCGGCAACACCAAAGCCACCACCTTAGTGCTGTGTGGTCTGGAAATTTCCTCCACCAGATTAATTAGTCTGCCACCGTTAAATTCAGCTCACCCAGAGCATGGGCAAAATGTAGCCAAATTCTTTGCCTGGCGCTAACATGAGTGGCCTCTAGTTCAATTCCCAGTAGATCCCTTGCTTCTCTGAAATCTCGCGAGCATAGTCTGTCTCCATTCCTCTCAGCATTCTGGTCTCCTGAGCTCTCACCAGAATTGCCCACGAGTCTCTGCTTACAGCACCCTCAGGGTCCCATGGCCTGCGTCTCTGAACTTTTCCAACTCCTCCAGCAAACCATTTCCAAAGGCTTCTGAACCAGATGGTCAGGTTAGTCCCAGCAACAGCCCTACTGCTCAGTACCAATCTCTACTAGTCAGCTTTTTGTCACTGGGACCAACACACCTGATAAGAACCAGTTAGAGGAGGATAAGTCTATTTTTATAGGTCATTGTTCCAGGGGTTCGGTCCATGTCAGCCGAGGCCATCACTCTGAGCCCAGGTGAGTCTCATGATGGAAGGGAGGGTGAAGGGGTGCTGCTCCACTCATGGTGGCCAGGAAGGAGACATGGGTGGGTACAGGATGACAGCAAAGATGCCCCCTTCCAAGACTCGCCCCCAGTTATCCACCTCCTCTAGCCACAACCCACCTGCCAACAACTACTACCCCTTAGTCCATTCAAATCGGGAAGATGGTTAGATACAGCTCTCCCCATCCAATCACTCCACCTCCAAGTATTCCTGTATCACCACAGGAAGTTTTCGGGGACATTCCATCTCCAAACCATGACAATCGCATCTGTCCTTGCTCTATGCCACCCATGCAGTCTTGCTTCCTCCTGGGTCTGGTTATCTTTTTTTTTTTTTTAAGAGAGAGAGAGAGAGAATTTTTTTTAATATTTATTTTTTAGTTTTCGGTGGACAGAACATCTTTGTTTGTATGTGGTGCTGAGGATCGAACCCGGGCCGCACCCATGCCAGGCAAGCGCACTACCGCTTGAGCCACATCCCCAGCCCCTGGGTCTGGTTATCTTTGACAGCAGGCTAGATGTTCATTTGGGGGAAAATGTTATAGGAATGATTCACCTAAGGACAGGACACTCCAGCTGAAGGTCGCTTTCAGCCAAATCCAGGACTCCAGACCCCGGAGCCCCAGGCGATTCACACTGGTGGATGTTCACCGGCTTTTCCACAACCAGTTCAGCATCACTGGGGATGGCGGAAGGCCACCTGCTCCACCAACCCACCTCTGGGCTTCAGTCTCTGCCCCCCATCCCGCAAGGCTGGCAAAGGCCCTACCTTTCCAGAATTGTCACACATCCTCAGGGCCTCGGTGGCTCCGGGGTCCCTGCATCCTGAGGTCTTCATACACTCCACGCGGCCTGGCACTCCTTTGCAGTTCCATCATCTCTGGTGCTTTTAGGACCCTTGATTCTAACTCCGCAGGCTTTTTAGCGGTTTTCAAGGGAGGCGCTGATTCAAGTAGTCTGGCAGACCATTCCTGGGGGACCCGAGCCTCCCGCTCTTTTCTGTTTCTTTAATACCAGGGATAGAACCTAGGGGCGCTTAGACACTGAACCATGTCCCAGATCTTTTTATTTTTTATTTTGAAACAGGGTCTCACCAAGTTTCTTAGGGCCTTGCTAAGCTGCTAAGTCTGTCCCCCAATTTGCAATCCTCCTGCCTCAGCCTCCCAAGCCATTGGGATTATAGGCATGCACCACTGTGCCCAGCTCATTCCTTTTTTTAAAACGATTTAATAAGATATGACCCATAGGTTATGGCAGTAGCTCAGTGATAGAGTGCTTGCCTAACATGCATGAGTCTGGGTTCAACCCCAGCACTACACACACACACACACACACACACACATACACACACCACAAATAAAATTCACATACTAAAGGATTCGCCCATTTAAAGTATACGATTCAATGGGTTTGGCATATGACATCATGAATCACTTTAACTTTGGTAATTATGTGTGCCATAGAATTTGCCATTTAACCACTCTTAAGGGTCCAGCTCAGGGCATTGATCATATCTGCAGGGCTGCGCAGCTGCCACCACTGTCTGAGCCCACAGAATCACTCCAAGCAGAATCCCTGTACCCATCCAAGAGTAGCCCCCAGGCACCGCCCTCTGTGCCACAGAGGCCCTCAGCCTCCTGGCACGAGGGGGCCTCCGAGCCCTGGGAATTCCACAGAGATGGGGTGCACGTCTCCTCTGGGGTCTGGGCTCTCCCCGGCTGGCTTCGTGTCCTGGGGCTTCATCCTCCTGAAGCCTGTCACAGCCTCTCTCCGTCTGTGGCTGCACATGTTCCTCTGTGGTGATGGGCACATGCTCTCCCCTTTGGGCCATGGTGATCACTACTGCCATCAGCCTTGGCCTGCGTCCTCGGGCTCTGCATCCACAGACCCACCATACTCTTCCAGAAACAATGCCTCTGCCCTGCGCGTGTGCAGACTTCTCCAGAGTCCCTGGAGGATGCACTGGATAATGTTTGCGCAGCATCCCACTGCACTAGGGCTGCGCGGGCCAGAGGCGGAGTGCTCAGAGGGTCCTGCTCCGCCGCTTTGCAGGAGGGACTTGAGTACCGACTGTATCCGAGGCAGGTCCCGTGGCCACTCCCTGCAGGAGCCAGGGGGAGCTGTGTGTGATCAAGTCCTCTGAACCACCCGGTGCAGCCCTGGGGGCGGTGTGGCTGGCACACGGCAGTCCTGGGGACTTCCCAAGCTGCCGCGGTGGCTCCCACGGTGCTGTGCCAGCAGCAGGAGGGCGCCCAGCGCTGCCCGTCCTCACCAGCACTCATTACGCTCCATTTCCTGGACGATGGCCATCCTAGTGGGTGTGGCGCGACGTGCGGTGGTTTCCGAGTGCCTTCGCCTGGTGGCTGATGATGAGCGTCCACGTGCTCCTCAGCTCTTCCGCATCTTTGTGCGGACATGTCTGTTGGGGCCTTGCGTCCATCTGTGACTGGGTGGGTGGCTTGTGTCTGTGCCGTGACTCCAGCTCCAGTGAAACCTGTGGCTTCAGTGAAGCCCTCCCTGAGGCCAGCAGCAACCTCGTGCTGCCGAGTCCAGCGGTCAGCCTCTGTCCCCACGCACAAGGGCTGGCAGCAGAATTTGGCTTGGCCAGTCATGCTCCGCTCCGGGAGCCCTTGTTCTCCTGGCTCCGGGAGCCGGCCGCCTGGCTCACTGTCGTCCCTGGTCACTCCACTGGCCACTCCGTCCCTGGCCGCTCCACTCCTGTGTGCTCTCCTCTGCTGGCTCCTGCCTCATCCTGGCTTCCTCGCCCGGGCTTCGGGGTGACTCTCAGACTTCACCTTCAGTGGCCACCCCTGTTCCCAGGGCTTTTAATGTCCTCTAAGTGCTGACACTGCCCAGCATTCACACCCAGCCCCAGTCTGTCCCCGAGCACATGCTGGCAGCCCCCAAATGCAACATGCTTGGCCAGGGTACGCCTTCTCTCCGGGCTTCAGGGTCCCCATCTGCAACGGGCAGGAGAACATCGCACGCACTGAAAGCTTTGCACACAGCTCAGGTCCACCCAACCTTCACCCGGGACGTGCGGGCCCTGGCCACGGTGGCCTCCCGGCAGAGCTGGGCAGGCCCCACTTGCCACACAGCCCTCATGGCCCTCTCTGCCCACAGCCATGCCTTCCGCCTGTGGAGGGCCCTGGGAGCTGAGCAGCCCGTGAGCCGCCTGGTGCTGGCCATGCTGCTGGCCTGGCTGCAGGAGCGGCCCCTGCCCACCAGAGCAAGCAACAGCAACCCCAGCCCCAAGGAGAAGAATTACCTGCGCTCGCTGGCCGTGAGTCTGCAGCCCCAGCCCCTGGCTTCAGGAGCGTACGCAGTCAGGACGCATGGCACAGGGTGGTGGGGAGCTCCACAGCCTGGCTTCAGGAGGGCCCAGGCCTGCCCTGGAGGTAGAGGGCCTCCCTCCAGGGCAGCCCCAGTCCAGGGGCTGACCCCACAGACCTGGGTCTCAGGCCCAGCTCTTCTTACTGCCCAGGGCTCCGGCCCCAGCCGTGAATCAGAGCAGAGCGTCCCCTCTGTGGGGTTGGTAAGGGGGTTCCATCTGTGTGTGCCAGGACTGCTTATGTGCAGGGCCACCTTGCAGGGGGCTGCAGGCAGAGGGGAAGAGTGTGGAGCACCAGGTTCCTCCGCCACATTGGGGCTCTGGGGACCATGGATTCTGGAGGGATCTCAGAGGCTGCCTCCTGTCAGAGCCCCCCAGCTCTCCCTGTAAGCCGGGCCCTGCTTGCACACCCCAGGGGCAGGGCACTCACTCCCTAACGCAGCCACACCTGCCCCCTTGGCTGGACTCTGGCAAGGCAGCCGCCATGTCCTGGAACTTTCCAGACAGGGTCCCAGCCCCAGAAGCCCCGTGAGCAGAAGCCGAGAGCACACAGCTGCCCCTCCCTACCCAGGCACCCCCTAGATGAGCAGCTGCTGCCCCAGGGTGTGATGAGCAGGCAGCTGGAGGGAGACCACCCATGCCTGGCACTCACCAGCCCCCCAGCCCACCCCAACCCCAGGCTGATGCCAGCCCCAAGCAGAGTAGCACCCCTATCAGGAGCTGCAGAGCAGCCACCCTGCATCCTGTGTGTCCATCCCCTGCCCACCCCATGCCACTTCTGCTCAGGACCACCCCTAGCCCAAAACTAAACACCCCTGCCTGGGGGCCTGGGGCCTGCTGTCACAGACTCTGCCTTCAAGGGCATTTGATTCCCCAACTTTCACACATTAGGCCCCTGCTGTGTGCAGAGTTGGTGCTGAGAACACAGTGCAGGAGCTCACCTCCAGGGCCAGACCCCCCTGGGATAGTCCCAAGTGCAGAGAGCAGGTGGCGTGGTCGAGGCGGGACAGAGAGGCAGCCTGGCATGGTGGGGCCTGCAGGCCGGGGCGGCAGCATCCCAGGCGATGGCAGGGAGGAGGCTGAGGAGCTCCAGTGTGTGGAACAGCAGGGGGACCAGCACGGCAGCGCCTTCTCAGCCAGAGAAGAGGGCCAGGCTGAGGCTACACAGTGGCGGGGCCAGTGGGAGGGACATCATCAGGAGCTGGGGCCCCCTTGTCCCAACAGGCCATGAACACACTCCTGGAGCTGCAGTTCGCACGGGAGTTCAAGGAGGCGGTGCGGGAGGCCTACCCACAGCTGCTCCTGGCCCTCCTCACCCAGGTCCACTACACCCTGGAGCTGAACCTGGTCACTGAGCCCCAGCGCGGGCAGCAGGCCCAGGAGGCAGCCATGCCCAGTCCCCAGAGGTAAGACCTCCGAGCACCTCGCTGGCCTGTGCAGTGGCCACAGAGGGCCTGAGAGACAGGGGAGAGTGTCCTGGGCTGAGGGACTAGGTGTCACACACCCAGAGGCTTAAAACTGCAGGAATGTGTCACAGCTGTCAGGGAGGTGTCACAGCTCCCAAGGACGGAGTCCAAAACCAAGGTGTCTCAGGGCCATGCTCCTCTGAAACTGGGAGGAAACACCCCCGAGCAGGGCGAGCAGAGGTGGGTGGAGGGCCAGGGCCAAGCAGGCCATGGGAGCGCTGCTGCCTTGGGCCTCCCTCTGCAGCGGCTCATATTTCCAGAAATCCGATAAGCGAGCCTTGAACACCACCAGTCTTTCATTTGTTTGTATTATGATGTGCTTTACGCAGTTTGTCAGCTCTAACAGCCCTCCCCAAGGCACGTCACTGAAAAAACTGTCACTCTTCCCGTATTGCCTCTGGGTTAGAATGTGCGTGAAGTTCCTTTTTTACTCTGATCAACATGCAAAATGCATGAATCTTCCCTAATAAGCTAATAAAACGTTCTCGTCCCAGAGCGTGGAGGGCTGGGGGGAGGGCTGGCGAACTGCCTGCCGCCAGCCTCCTCTCCCACTGCCACCCGCCCACCCCTCACCCGCCACCTCCGGGAGGCCTCCTCAGCCACCCTCTGTAAACAGCACCACCTGTAGCCCTCCCTCCTCAGCACCCTCGCCATCCAGCACCGGGGTCTCTGGCTCGCTTCCTGGTTTCCTGTTTGCATACCAGAAATGGGAGGTCCTGGAGGGCAGGGGCGCCTGTCACTCCCAGACCACCTGTACTCAGGGCTCGCCCTGGCCAGGGGCGCCTGTCTCACCCGGGGCTCCCCATGCACCAGGGGCGCCTGTCTCACCCGGGGCTCCCCATGCACCAGGGGCACCTGTCTCACCCGGGGCTCCCCATGCACTAGAGGCATCTGTCTCTCTTGGGCTCCAAAAATCAGGGATGTCTGTCTGTCTCTTGGGGCTGTGGGTAGCTTTTGGCTCAAGTGTGGCTAGACAGAGACCTCAAGCCGCTCTCCACCTCAGTCTGCTTTCCCCTGGTGGCCACTATGGGCAGGTCTTCTCCAGCAAAGGAGGTGGTCCCAGTAGCCACAGGACAAGAAAGGCTCTCCCTAGGCAGAGTCCATGTTCTGGCCCACGCAGGTACATACATACCCATCCTTGGTCACTGGAATATTGGAGGCTCTGATGGGCCGGAACTGGCTTCCTGGCCTCTGGAGCCTTTCCCAGGGGAAAAGGGCTTAGCTGGGACTGTCCTGAAGAGGCCCAGGTGTGGGGCAGGCCAACCAGTGGCCCTACCTTCAGGGATGCCAGAAAGTCGTTGGGGACAGTGGGGAGACCAAAGGCCACTCTCTGGGCCTCAGAGGGTAGGTGGCCATGTGTGCCAGATTGCCTGGCACTGTCCAGTGTGCAGAAGAGGGAGTACCATCGGCTGAGTAGCCACTGACCATAGGTGCCCTGCTGGGGACTTGGCAGAGGGCACTGGATGGCAGCCAGGCCGACCTCCGTGGCTCCTGACATCCTGCTCACCTGGGCCCAGCCAGTGGGGCTTTAGGCAAGGCACTCTTCCCCTGGCAGGGGACCCCACCTTGCTTTTCTGAACAACAAAGACCTGCACCATCCGATTCTTAGCTGGTTCTGCCTCCAGCCAGTGCCCAGCCTGCCCCCTGGACTTCCGGCTCCTCTCCCTTCATCCGTTACGGTTGATTCTCTCTACCTGTCACGAGGCACCTCATTTCTGTATTTCAAACACACTCCCTGTAATGGCTAATTTGAACTGTCAACTTGATTGGATTAAGAGATGCCAAAGATTAAGATGCTTCTGTGTGTGTCAGTGAGGGTGTGTCTAGGCATGATTGGCATGTGGCATAGCGAACTAAAGTGGAGACCTTCCCTAAGTGTGGGCAGCAGCAGACGGCCACTGGGGACTGTCCAGCTTCTGGTTGTGGAAGCCAGTCTAATAAATCCCCTTTGTATAATCATACTTCCTGTTGACCCTGTTCCTCTAGAGATCCCTGACCAACACCCTCCCCTCCCTGCCCTCATCTGGCCCTCGGCGTCTGCCTCTGTCCCACTGGGCCACATGTGCTAAGAAAGGCCTTGGAGAAAAGAAGAAGAAATGTCACCTCCATCGGGACCTCCACTGCCAAAAAGCAAACCAAGCAACATGTTGGCAAGAATGTGGGGATCTGGACCCCTTGTGCTTGGTTAGTGGGAACACAGGATGGCGCGGGTTCCTCAGTTAAACCTGGAGCTACCCTACAGCCCGGCAGTCCCACTTCCTGCCATGGACCTGGGGGAGTCGGAAGCAGGGGCCAGAACAGACGTGTGAGCTCCTGTGCAAAGCCACACTGCTCACAGGGACCACAAGTGGAAGCAGCCAGTGCCCCTGGCGGACGAGGCGATAGACACAAGTGGTCTCCCTGCCACGGGTCCTAGCAAACCCGTGGCAGCCTCAGTTTGAGAAAACGGATATGTTCTGGAGATGGACAGATGGTTGTGACAGCCACACAATATCACGACTGTGCTCAATGCCGCGGAATTCTACACTTAAAACATCACAATGACAAAGTTTATGTGATACGTATTTTACCACAAAAATACAACAGAAAAAGAAGAGGAGGTGGCGGGTCTGGGCAGGCAGAGGCTGGTGCCTGCCGCCCTTGGGGAGCACGGGCTCGGCCGCCCCTTTCTGAAGAGCCTTTGCTCCTCAGAAGGGGACGGGAGTCGCTGGAGGCAGCGTGGCCATCACTGGGATGCCAGAGGGTGGAGGGCGCTTAGGGCCAGGAGGAAGGGAGGGCCACCCTGCCACACCAGGCGTGGACTCCAGGGCTTCTCCTCGCCAGGCTTGGGGCTGCACGTGGATTTCAGGTGACACATGTCACCCCTCCACAGGGGCCCAGCCTGGGAAGGGTTTTAGGTTGTAGGAACCCCCAGAGGGGTGTGGTCTCCTCCGCAGATAGGAGGGGATTCCCAAGAATGCACAAACTGCCAACAGGCATTTCCTGGAAGCCCTGCTGTGGTTACAGGGACAAAGCAATTACAGAGGACGAGAAATGGGGACACGCTGCGTGCCCCAGGAGCAGAAGCACTTGGAGCCTTGGAGGGAAGGAAATGCCCCTGCACGTCTTGCTCCTGAAAACCACCCTCGCTTGGTGGCTGAGACCAGTGACCTGGAAAACGCCACCTCTCTAATGATAGAGCTGCAGCGAGATGACAAGCCAGCTGGCATTTGGGTTGGCACCACCGGGACTTCAGAGTGCCATTCATCCTCTGACCCTTGGTTCAGTGAATGTACTCAGAGGTGTGCCTGCTCTGAGATGGCAGCCTCTTTCCCGGGCACGTTCACACATCGGGCTGATGTGGTGGCCAGGCACATCAAGATGGGCCAGCAAACTGCCTCTTGTGCTTCACGGCCTGCATCCCAGGCTCTGCACCATGTTCAGGTGCTGTGTGCAGCGCCTGGGGCAGCTCTGTCCCTGTGACCGTGACATCACTGTGCGGTTTAGAGCCAGAGGCCTGGCTTGGTTGCACTTGTGCTGTCCTTGACCTGGCTCTCTGACCTGAACAAGGCACATGGCTTCTATGGGAGTGAGCGCCTCCTCCCTATTGGAGGGTGACAGTCACCTCGCATGGCACCCATGTGCTGATAAACACATGGCCAGGCCACACAACTGTGGGTCATGTCACCTGGTCTGTCCTGCCCTGGGACAGAGGAGATCAGGCCTGGAAGTGAGCCCCTCTGGCTCTCACAGTGCCACACACCCTCCTCAGATGTCCCCTTCTGTGTTCTTCACCATACTTAAATGTCCCCCGAGGGTTGGCCAGGACACTCCCCACCCCAGGACCTGGGAGATCACAGAGCCTGAGATGGCCCTGCAGCTCCCTCCAGACCTGTCCTCTGAGCTCCGCCCTGTGACCAGCTGTCAGAGCAGCTGCTGTCCTGTCTAGGACACTTCAAGGACACTCGCAAGTGCTGTGCTCCAAGTCAGACCAAGCCCCCGAGAGCCTGGTCCCTCCCCTCCCTAAAGGGCCCCTCCAGTCTCTGACCCAGCAGGTTGGTGGAGCCCTGCCATCTCCCTGTGCCTGGCGAACCCTCCACTCCTGGCTTCAGCTGTTAGAGAAGGGCAGGCCAGGCGGTGCAGGCATTGGAGGCAGGGCTGGAGCCAGGCAGGGGGAGTTGCCACACCCAGGGTAGGACGGCCCAGTGACGGCTGTTGGCCTAGGTGGCCTGACCCTCTTCTTGGCCACAGCACGTCGCTGGAGGCCCTCAAGAGCCTCCTGTCCACCACGGGGCACTGGCATGACTTTGCCCACCTTGAGCTGCAGGGCGCCTGGGAGCACTTCACCTCCATCAGCACCTACGCACAGGGCGTGGGCCTCCTGGCCAGGTACCGGGCACTGGGTGCGTAGGCTGTGGGGACAGGGCCTGTGCCCTCCAGAGCCACCTGTGGCCCCAGGGCTGACTATGAGCAGGACACTCACATTCACACACCGCCACTCTGCAGTCACTCGAGCCTGTGGTGCCCATGTCCCGCCCCTGCCTGGGACCTCCCAGGGCGAGGGCTGTCAGTGCGGCTTCCCTGCCTCCCCAGTCCCCCCGAGACCCGGCATGAGTGGGCAGCCGGGGGTTCAAGGGAGTGGGAGCACTGCCGTCAGGACGCTCCTGGCCCCAGCTGGCTGGGGTGGTGGAGGGTGGGCTTCAGGAGTGACCGCAGCCCAGGCCCTGCCCCCAGGGCTATGGTGCAGAACCACTGCCGGCAGATCAAGGCCGTGCTCAGCTGGCTGCTGCGCCGCATGCAGAGCCAGGAGGAGCGGGAGAGGAAGGCGGCCGTCCTCGTGCTCACTGAGGTAGGTGAGGCCCGGGCCTCGCCCCCGGGGACACCAGCAGCACAACCCAGCAGGACCCCCACCAGACCTCAGTCTGGCTGGGGAAGCCGCAGAGAGATCCTCACACCCAATCCCCACTTCCAGCTCTGCAGGGTGTCTGCATGCGGTGGCTCCTCACGGGGCTCCCACCCCTCTGCCCCTCAGCCCTTGGCCTTGAGGGACCTTCTCCCCTCGTCCCTCCCTCAACGAGCCCCGCAGATGGAAGGGCAGTGGGTAGATCTGTAGTCAAATGTCGACCTGGCATGACTCGGGGCCCCTGCCCCAGGCCTGGGGTGCAGCCAGCTTTGCAACTGTGGGCTCTGGGTAGTGGCAGCACTTGGGGGCATGGGGGTGTCTCGCTTCCATAACTGACTCCAAGTCAAAGTCTTGTGCTAGCACCCAGCCCAACAGCAGGAGGGTCTGGGCCACCAGTGCCCGGGGGCCAGCCATCGATGCGAGCTGGAGTCAGCCTCACTCCGTAACCTCAGGCGAGGCCTCCGCTCCCTGGGCCTGTTCCCCAGCTGCACATTAGAGGGGAGGCAGGTAGGAGTCGCATGCTGGTCAGCCAAGGTCCCAGGGAGCACGGGTCCATCAGCCTCCTGAAGCCCTACCCAGAGCCCAGACCCAGAGCCCGGACACATGCAGGCTTCCCAGGAGAGGGTGCCAGACCTGACCCACCCACCCCCTGCGGCCCCTAGTTCCTCTACAGCCCTGTCCTGCTGGAAGTGCTTCCCAAGCAGTCTGCCCTGACCCTCCTGGCACAGGGCCTCCGGGATGAGAGCCCCGACATCCGCGTTTGGAGCTTGCAGGGCCTTGGGAACATCCTCTTCCACCCGGAGAAGGTAAGGACGTGCTGGGGCACATCATGGGGTGGGCCTGGCCCACTGAGCTGGTGGCTGGAGCAGGCTCTCACCACAGTGGGCACTTCCGTTTCCTTCCCGGCCTTCCCCTTGGAACTCCATCCTACTGGAATCCCGGTCCTCCCCTGGCTGCACATACAGGTGCCCAGAAACTGTGTCGCTGTCACGTGACCCACTTGGTGAAAGTGGATTTAATATTTTAAACCAAACAGAGTTTAGAAAGCCAGCAAAGCTCGCTCAAAACTTGTTTTCAAGTTGTAAACATCACCCTAGTGTGCACACAGGCCATGATAGGGGCCAGGGCAGGGGACACCCACGTTGCTTTCTGACAATTCATTTAGAGAATTCAGGAAGGCACAGCAAACAAGGGGAGCAGACAGAATTGGCTGCACAGAATTTTTAAAATTTCTAAAGAAAGCCTAGAAATGGAACATAACTGGTCACTAGAACGTTCTGGAACCTCCACTTGGTGTACACAAAATGTGGTTTTAGCATGCGCACCTGACTGGCCTCTTCCCGGTCCAGCCCAGGATCCCAACTGGCCTGAGGCAAGGCTGGAAATGGGGGTGAAGGCAGGGTGGGTGCTGAGGAGAAGGGTGGGCAGGACCAGGAGGAGGAAGGAGCTGAGACCCAACTAGTACTGAGGCCTCTGGGTCCACCCTGCAGGACCCCGGGGGCTCTGAGAGGGGAGTCCTGTCCAAAGCCACATGGTCCCTGGTAGAGAGAGCCGGGTAGAATCCCAGCTGAGTCACCTGCAGCCAGGGTGCCACAAAGTGGGGGACAGGGCATCCGGGGACATGGGCACAGTGCATTTGCACAGCCGAAGCTGAGCAGGTCGGGGCCCTGCACCCACCGCGCTCACCGCCCACAGGAAAGGCTGCTCCAAGGGCAGCTGCCGCCCTTCCTCAACGGCTTCTTCCAGAACAGCGAGCCCGTGGTGGTGGACATCATGGGCACTGTGTCCGACGTGCTGCACCGTTTGGGCACGCACGGCGCAGGGGCCCAGAGCCTCAGCGTGGCCATCAATGCCCGCTCCTTCTTCGATGACGTGAGTGTGGGGGGCAAGGCAGGTGGGGTGCCTCCTACTTGGGCCCTCCCAGGACCCCAGACTCCCCTCCAATTACAGGCATGGATTCCCAGCCCTGGGTAGCAGCTTCTGTTTGCCCAGGACTGCAGGTGGACTGGCATCAAGTCCAGTCCTCCAACCCACTCTCCCCTCTGGTCCTACAGCTGTCCACGTGGCCTTCCAACTTGATGACAGGTCATCTTGTCTGGAACACGCTCTCCTTCACTGGGGAGTGGGATACGTCTGTCCCCCCCAGTCACTCTTGACACTCAGGTTGTCAGGCTGCAATTGTGGGTGTGAGGGGACAGACTGGATGTTGGCAAGGCCTTGATAAGGAGGGGGCCCAGCCCTGCGCCGGAGCCTTGTTTGGGGGGCGGAAGGAGCCCCGCCCTGGAATCCTGAGCTGGCTGAGAGGACCCTCTAAGGAAACCAAGTGAGATGGGGGTTCCAAGTTGAGAAGAGCGGGAACCCCGCTGAGCCTCTGCCTTGCAGGAGCGGGACAGGATTCGAGCAGCAGCCATGGCACTGTTTGGGGATTTGGTGGCAACCATGGAGGGCAAGGAGCTAAGCGGCCTTCGAACCCAGGTGTACCAGAGCATGGTACCTCTGCTGCTGCAGCTGAAGGACAAGTGCCCCAAGGTTGCCATGGTCAGTGCCCCACCCGAGGCAAGACAGGCCGATGGCCTCCACCTGGGCCAGGGCCTGGGCGGGCAGATGGCAGCAGGGCTGCCTGAGCGAAGGGGATCCCCAGGCCCCCACCCGGCCCTTTGGACCACTACCCTCCCAGCCTGCACACACATACCAGGCTGCACTGACCTTGGGCAGGACCCAATGGTTCCACTCCCTGCTGAGTCCCCAGTGCCTGGTGTGTGGCGGGGCCCAGGTTGCACACTGGACCTGTTGGGATGTGGATCCCGCTGACCCCGCCACCGGGGAAGTAAACCAGTTCTGACATGACCTGAGACGGGCTGCCCACAGTCCAGCCAGGGCGAGAGCACACAGTCAGGCGGTGGCCTGAGCGGCCCACTGTCTCTGATGCCCGCCTGTGGAAGGCGGACCCCAGGCCCAGACAACGCGGGCAGTGTGGACCCCCCCACCAGCTGTCCCCAGACAACGCAGGCAGGATGGAACCCCCCCCCCCACTGTCCCCAGACAACGCGGGCAGTCAGTGTGGAACCCCCTGCTGTCCCCACAGCAGGCCAAGTTCGCCTTCTACCGCTGTGCTCTGCTGCTGGGGTGGCGGCCGCGCCACACCCTCTTCTGCACGCTGGCCTGGGAGCAAGGCCTCAGCGCCCGCCACTTCCACTGGACCTGCCTGGTGAGGCCGGTGCAGCCTCCTCCAGGAGGGCTGGGGCGGGGGTAGGGGTCCCTGGGTGGTGACAGGAGGGTCTCCCTGGCCAGATGCGCGCCAGCTTCGAGGAGTTCAGCATCCACCTGGCCCAGGCCCTCAGCTACCTGCACAGCCACCACCAGCACATGAAGACCTGGGCCGCGCTCTTCATAGGTGGGCAGGGGGCGGCCAAGTGGGCCCCAGGCCGCCGAGCCCCACCCGCAGGAAAGGAAGGGTGGAGGAGGGGCCTGGGGTTGAGGAGTGGGTCTGGCCTCAGGAGACCACCCACCCTCTGCCCAGCTGCACCGCATCTTGCACAGGTTACACCATCTGCTACCACCCCCAGGCCGTGTCCCGGATGGTGAGCGAGGTGGACACCAACCTGCTGTTCTGCAGTAAGCAGCCCCAGCCCCAGCCCCAGGCCTGCATCAGCTGGGACCCAGGCCTCCAGAGCAGAGCCCTGCCCTGCCTCCCCCTGGAGTGGGTGTTGCCTGTCCCCTCCCTGGGCCCCCAGGATACCTGGCAAGGGGTCACACCCACCCCCCAGCTTACAGAACCAGGGCTCCAGGAATGGGTGGGAGCCCTTCCCCCCCAGCCCCCAGCCCCCCTTGGCAGGCAGGAGACCCCTCGCTGAAGGAATGGGGGGCTGCAGCCAGGCCTGGGGCACCCCTGACTTTCCCCTTCTCTCCTGGAGCTTTTGAAGACCTCAAAAAGGACCCAGAGCCTGGCGTCCGGGAATTTGCCACCAGGCAGCTCTCCTTCCTTCGGGAGGTGTCAGAGGGACGCCAGCAGTGACCAGCACCCCCTTCAGCCACCTGGCGGGCAGCCCTGCCCCATCCCAGAGAGCTTGGTTGCATGACATTTTTCCATTTGAAAGAAAGGTCTAGATTCAACAAAGAAGCATGACCCTGTGGCTCCCAGCTCTCATCCCAGGCCCCTCCCTGTGGCCAAGCCAAACCCAGCAGACACTGGCAGGACTCAGGGACCGGGCCAGGCCGCGGGTGGTGGGATGGAGCCTGCGAAGGCTGGGACAGACCCTGACAAGGCAGCCCCAACACTCAGAGATGGGGTCTACTCCACACAACCAGAGCCCAAGAGTCCTGGGCACGGGAGGACGCCACGTGGGCAGCCCCAGCCCTCACTCTCCCGGCCAGGCGCCCACAGCTGGGGCCAGGGTCTGCCCACTCCCCCTCCTCAGTCCAGTCAGGACTGACCAGGCCCCAGGTCGTGCCTCCCAGGGGAGCCAGGCTCACCCAGGATGAGGTAAGCGGCCTGAAGCAAAGCCCCGGGCTCTCGGGGCCGGCCGCGCCCTCTGTAAAATGGGTCAGAAGTCCTTCCCCCCAAGACCCTCTTAGAGGGCCCAGAGGAGGGCCCCTGACTCCAAACAGCCTCCCTCATCCTTCCCCTCCACCCGCTTCCCCCGTGTGAAATGGGCAGGCGGGTCCTTCCCTCGCCTGTGGGTCCAGAGATCTTCCTGGGGCCTCCTCCACAGGCTCCCAGACCAGCCACGCTGCCCACCAGCCCCTCCTGGGCCCACCCCACACTCCCCTGCCTCCGCACTGCCCCGCCCTCCCAGCTGAACCCCACCTGGCTGAGACGGGTTTGCAGCCCGTCCTCCTCCACCCCGCTGGACCGTGCCCTTCTCAGGACAGGCTGTGCCGCTCAGGGCCTGCACAGAGGCCCCAAAACTTAGAAAAATACAGTGACTTCCCCAAACGTGCCGCAGGTATCACTGAGTTCACACACACGTTCAAGGAAAGGGAGAAATAACCACCTGGTAGAACTGGTGCCCCGCTTTGCCTTCCCAGGGACAGCAGGGCTGCAGCCCAGGCTTGTCCACCAAACCCCTAGAAGAGGAGCTGCCTGAGGGGCTCTGCGGGTACTTCTGCCTGTTCACATTTCCCCATCCTGTCCCCTGATATCATGGGCACCTGTCCTTCTTTGCTTGAGCCCCTGCTAGGGAGGGTCCCCGTGGGTGCAGCCTGGTGGGTGTGGGGACGGCAGGCCCCTCAGCAAGTCAGCAGTCTCTCTCAGGGGTGGGCTTGCTGGCCGCCTCATCAGCTGCCCTCCCCCACCCTGGCCACCGTCGGCAGATCTCTTCTGTGCTTCAGTTCATCTTCCCTTCAGAAAATCCTGCTTCGAGACCCCTGGGGTCGGGTGGGCCTGGACTAAATGGGGTTCCTGGAGCTAAGAGTAACCAGACAAGCCCCTGGGGCTCTCTGAATTGGCCCCTTATCTGGAAAAGGGTGGGCACCGCCAGGTTGAGAGGGATAAGTAGGCCTTCAGAGCTTGGCACACAGTAGGTGCTGCATTATGGCACACCCATGGTAAGGCCAAGCTGGACAGAGCCACCAGGGGAGAGCAAGCAGGGCCTGCATCGCCCTGGGCCCTCCTGCCAGGGCTCTAGGAGAGGTGACCCCCACCAGGCCACCCAGGGCTCCACTCTGAGTCAGGGCCCCCACACTTGGGAAACGAGTCTCCAGCAAGGCCCTCTATGCCACCGAGGCACATGGCCTGCCCTTCTGGGAACAGAGATTTCGGGGGGCTGGGTGAGCCCCTCTCAGGGGCCCTGAAGGCCTAACCCAGAGTGGGTACAGGGCAAGGAGGAGGAAGGAGGAGGGCAGGTCCAGTAGGGACCCTGAGAGGTCAGGGCCAAAGGCAACGTAAGCAGCAGACACAGATGGGCGTGGCCTGGGGTCAGCAAAGGCCCTGGGTGGCGTCACGGTGGGACCCCAGGGAGGGATGGCCCCCAACTTGGGAACCTACATGCAGGAGCACAGGAGGGTCCCAAGGAGGGTCCCAAGGAGGGTCCCAAGGAGGCCCCAGGCGCTCGGGGCCTCTCCCACATGCTCACTCAGCTGCAGGTGCCTGCGTCGTCCCTCCCCTCCCTAGGCCAGGAAGGGTGCCTCCGCCACCCTGAGCCTTGGTGGCACAGTGCTGGCACCCCCGGCACCCCTCCCTGGACTCCCTTCTCTGGGCCTGGGGCTGAAACGCCGTCACCTGGCTGGGTGGGATCGTGAGGCCGCCTCACTGGACACAGGGCTTGAAGAATTGCCAGGTGACCCCCCACCATGTTGTTAAGAGGGGAAACACTGGTGCCCCAACCCCAGAGCCGTACCCAGCAACGCCACCCAAGCCTCAGCTTCTCCCTGGCTTATGGAGGCAGAGGACCAAGGCAGGGTGCAGGGCCCAGCATGACCACCAGGGGGCACCATGGGAGCACACGGCACCCCACACACAGGAACAGCAGAGTCCATCCTGGGACAGTGGACTCCCCAGGCCCTGCAGCCACTGCCCCCTCCACCTGGCCCCATGCTCACTCCACACAAAGCCACGGCTCGCTCTTTATTGCCTTCGAGTGTCCAGAGCACCTGACCGCCCGGGATCCAATAACTTAAGTGCAGAGCACAGGTGAGGCCCCCGCAGAGGCCTGGCCACTAGTTCAAAACTCCATCCACCCAACAAAAGGCAGGGCAGAGGGGACCTGAGGTGGGGTGTAGGAGGGTGCAGGCAGGAGTCCAGGGACGGGGCTGCCGAGCCTGTGAGTCGGCCCCGGCACAGAGGGCCTGGGGCAGGCAGGCAGGCAGAGCAAGGACACGGCCCGTGGGCTCCTCGGACGCGGGCAGCTGAGGCACAGGAGGGGAAGGCGGGCAGAGGCTGCCAGGACAGGAGCCCCCGCCGCGGAGTCCTGAGCTACATGACGCAGCATTTGGTCTTGTGCGTGTGGGGGTCTTTGAAGCGCAGTCTCTGTTTGGGCCGGTATTTCTCCAGGTAGGTGAGCTGTTTGCTGTTGATGGCCCCCCGGCGCTTCCTGGGAGACAGGACAGAAGGTCATCGGGATGCTGGCCACCTGCCTGCACCCCAGGGAGTCCAAGGCCATGGCAGGTGGGGTTGGGGGCTCCACGTGGCCAGCAGGGCACGGGCAAGGCGGGCTACGGCAAGGCTGGCCCTGGCCCTGGCAGCCAGCCCCGGGGGTACCAGCAGGCAGGACAACAGACGAGTGTGTGCCCACACGAGTGCTGGGCACGTGCCCACTGTGCCTGGGTGTGCTGCATGGGGTGTGTGTCCCTGTGTGTGCAAGGGGCCTGTGTCCAGCCCTCACAGGCACTCGCGTGGTGACAGGGTGTGACAGGATGGCAGAAGCCACCTGGGAAGGGACAGCTGTGCTCTGACAGGCTGCGGAGGCAGCAGGAGGACACCTGCCCAAAGCGTGTACACCTCCAACACACGTGCCTGCGGCAGCCAAGGACAGCGTCAGCCCCCGCTGTCCCTGCGTGGCTGAGCGGACAGATGGGAGCCCTCCCCAGGGAAGCCACCAAGCCACAAGCAGGTGGCCTGGAAACCTCCAAGGAGGGGAGGGACGGGGCAAGCCAAGGACAGCAGGACGGGGGCAGCTGGACCCGGGTTGAGAAGGGCGGCCAGGACCGTGGCCTGGTCTCAGGCCACCAGACACCAGCGTGGGCCAGTGTCCTGGGCAGGAGAGGACTGGGGGAGGCTTGGGCTGTTTCCACTGAGGCAGGGCCCACCCTGGGGTCCGCCCTGGGCAGCGAGGGGTACTGGGGCACAGGAGCCGTGTCTGCCAGGGCAGGAGGGGGGCACTGGCAGCCACAGCTGTCCCTCCACTGTGGCAGGTAGGGAACCGGACAACAGGTCACTGCCGCAGGGCCAGCCCCCGACTGTCCAGAGCCCACAGGGGGACCCACTGTGGCCCTTGCCAACCCATGTGGCCTAGGAAATTCCATTAGCCAACCCAGGGAGGAGACCCCATCCCAGGCCAGCCCTCTCCCAGGGCAACCAGGATCCAAGCACGCGGCCATCACGTCCCCACAGCTGGCCACTCACTGCCGGATGAACTGGATGGCGTCCTCGTACTTCATCCCGCTCTCAATGAGGGCCACCGCCACGAGAACTGGAGCCCTGCGGGCAGGTGGCAGCACTGAGGTCATCTGAGCCCTGAACCTGGCCTCCCTCACAGGCTGCCTTCTGGAGACGGAGGGCGGGGGACCCAGCCCGAGGGGAGTCCCCTGAGCTCCTACAGAGGGCAAGACTGAGACCAGCTGAAAAGCCTGGGTCCAAAGCCCGCCCCCTTCTGTCTACTGTGCCACCTCAGGTAGTTGAGAAGAACTCTCTGTACCTCAGGCAGGTGAAACGTGTGGTGGGAGGGTTAAGCCAGGATGCGCCAGGAGACGCTCAGCTCCGAGCGGGCCTCGGCGAAAGCTGGTTCTCAACCCTCACTGTCTGGTCTGCCCTCTGCAAGTGGTAGATCCCCCTGCCTGGGTGATTTCAATCCAATCCAGGCTGTTACACCTCCTTAAGAAAGAACCCACCGCCCCAGCTAAGAGGAGATGTCTGTAACTGGGGGTGGGGCGGGGGACGGGGGCAGCTCTTTTCCGGGCACAGGTGCAGGGACAGTTTCGACCACAGCAGGTGGGAGTCAGGTCAGACTTTGAGAAGCACTTCTTCCCTGCCAGGCTGTAAGAGAAACTGGGGCATCTCCCCTCGGGAAGGTCACATGGATGTGTCCCACATCAGAAAGTGAGACAGACTGCAAGATCTCAAGCCCAGGCTGGGACCCCGGTGCCCTGGCCCCACCCGCTGCTCACCGTCCCAGGCCGGCCACGCAGTGCACGGCCACACAGCTGCCTGGGTCGTCCAGGAACTTGGCCTTCAGCAGGCTGAGCCAGTCCTCCACAACCTTGCCAGGCGGGGGCGCTCCGTCGTCGAAAGGCCAGTCCTGCAGACAAGGAGGCACTCGTGAGGTCGGACCAGAGAGGTGGCCAGGCTGCCTCCCAAGGTGTGCTCGAGGGGACAGGTTCTGGGGCCTGCTGGGGAGGGACCCATGTGCACTGACCTCTCCTCCAGGAAGCTGCCCTGGGACACCCCACCCCTGCCTGAAGACACCCTGCTGGGAGCCCCACAGTCCTGTGCCCCCACTGTGGTCCTGGGGTCAGCATCCTGTCCACTGTGTGCTGTGGCAACCCAAGAGGCTCAGAGTCACAGGCTAAGGAGTCCCATCTCTTGCAGCAACACTAATGTGCTGCCACGTGCCTACCGTCCCCAGCCCCCAGGGCACCACATGTGGGATGGAGGGGAGGCTGGTGGGGGAGGCTGGCGGGGGAGGCTGATGGGGGAGGCTGGCGGGCCTTCCGGCCACTCCCAGGGGTCAGCTCTGCTGTGAGGCTCAGTGTCGCTCTCCTGTCCCCTGTGCCCTGGGGAGGTGCAGCCAGTGTCCAGGAAGCCTCCAGCCCTGAGCACGCCAGAGTGAGCACAGAGATGTGGACATTGTGGTGAGGCAGGTGCCCAGGCCAAGGCTGGCACCGCCGGGTGCCAGGGTGAATCCACATGGGCTCCCTGGTGCTGCTGGAAAGCAACCCTGGGGCTCATCTCACCCTGCCCCAAGTCTAGGCAGGGCAGCTCCTGGAGGCATCCAGGGCAGTGCTGTCTTGGGTCTAACCCAAATCCCTTCTACTGGAGGGAGGGGCGGCACCCTGTGCTAGAGGTGGTGCTAGGGCCCTGTGGGTGTCGTGGCTGAACAAGGCAGCAGCGGGCTTCAGTTCACACCTGTCTGACCCCAAGTGCCACTCTTCACCATGCCGACTTCCAAGGGTGGTCCCTACACACAGCGACACCTGTCAACACCAGGGTCCTTGCAGGGGACCAGGGGTAGCTGGCACTGAGGACAGGAGGCTGGGGCTGCGGCACGGGACAGCCCACACCGAGCCCCATCCTGAGGTGGGGAGGCCCTGCTCCGGGGAGCTGCCATCTGCCGAGCTGGGTGACCCCAGAGCTGGCTCTGGGGCCTGCCCCATGGCCCACCCCCAGGTACACGGCAGCCAGGTCCTCCCCTAACTGGACCCCAGGGGCTTTAGAAGCCAAGGAAACAGCCCAAGCTCCTGCCACAGCCTCTGCAGCGGCCTCCCCAGGGCCCAGCACCAGGCAGCCGGAGGCGGAGGGGAGGCCCCCGGGAGGAGCAGACGCAGAGGAGCCTGGCTGCCCGGTGCTGCTCAGGAACCCGGGCAGGGCCCGCTGAGCCTCGCGCCCAGCAGAGGAGAGGCCGAGGTCTCCTCCAAGCAGGAGGGGGACCAGGTCCAGTCCTGGCAGTGCGTCTGCGGGCAGGAGCCACGTTGTGACCAGGGACCCTCCTGCCTCCAGCTGTGTCTCCCCAGAGGAAGCCAGGCAGGGGTTATGACAGGTGGTGGCTGCTGGGACCCGCCACCCTCCTTCTCAAGGTCACATGTCCCAAGACCCTGGCCTCCCTCCAGGTGCCCACATGCCTGGGGCTGAGGCACAAACACCGGGTAGCACGAGGCCGCGTGCCAGCCTCCCCGAGGACACCACCCAGGCCCTGCCTCACGGCAGCCACGTGCCCAGCGCCACGCAGTCCTCACCATCACAGTGATGCCATCCTTCTCCAGTGTGGTCTTGTCATAGGTCACCTCACACACGCGCACCACAGTGGTGGCCCCGTACTTCTTCAGGTCCTGGCAAGGGGACAGGAGGAGATGGGCAGAGGCCGTGGGGTCAGGACCCAGGACCCCTTGACCAGGGTTCCCAGGGCAGACTGTATTCCCCAGGGGTCCCCTTGCAGGGCTGGGTCCCCTCAAGCTCCTGGATAGAGCCGGGTCCCCTCAGCAAGACAGGAGGTGAACAGGAGATGGACTCTGAGGCCCAGCGATGGGCAGGTAGCCTTTCCTGAGCTGCCTTGGCCCCCTGGGGAGGAGGCGTTCCCACCTGCACTCACTGTGACCCGGGCTCAGCAGCTGTGCCAGGCCCCTGAGCATGAGCCCCCTTCTCTGCAGCTCAGGACCCTGGCTCTCACCAGCAAGGCCTCACGTTCCAGGCAAACCTACTGGTTTCCCGTGGCAGAGGCGGGACCCCTGGCCCACTTCTGAGCAGCCCTCCCGGCCTGGGCTGCACGGACAGGTCCAGTGCAGGGAGAAGCAGGCTTCGGCGGGCAGGGTGCCTCAGAGCAGGCAGGAAGGGAGCCAGACCCTGCACAGCGTGGGGAAGACCCACACAGCCAGCCCAAAGGTCACAGCAGCTCACAGCCAGACATGGGGTATTTATATCCGGGGACACATGACAGGCCAGCACCAACCCCACCTGCTCCCAGTAGATATTTTAGGAGTGGTAAGGAATCACTGGGCTGTGCTGGTCATGAGCTGGGGACACCAGACCCAACTATTCTGATAACACAAGGAGTAGAATAGGATGCGGCCTCAGAGGCCCTGGGCACACCTTCAGTGGAGGAAGCCACCGCCCAGCTCACCCTGACCACACGCCAAGCCACCATCCTGGCCACACACTGTGCCCTGACCAAATCACACACAGAGCTCTGCTTCTGGCTACACAGTGGGTCTTCAACCTGGTCACACACTGAGGCCTGGTTCGGCTCACATACTGAGCCCTTGTTCTGCTCACGCGTGAGCCCTAATCCTGCTCATATGCTCAGCCCTCACCCTGCTCACAATCTGAGCCCTCAGCAAGACAAGAGGGGTAGCACCAGACAGGAGAGAGGCCATGTGTCAGCCTCACCTGAAGACACTACCTAGGCCCTGCTCACACCCTGAGCCCTCATCCTGCTCTCATACTGAGCCCTCA